GTCGCTTGCACAATCCGGTTTCTGCCTTTTCTGATGAGGTCTGCTAAAGTCCGAATCCTTTCTTGGACTGTTCTGCGTGGTTGCAATGATGTTGTCAGCCATTCTAACACGATCTGTTGCCCCTCAGTCGATGTTGCAAGCTGCTTTTGATTGTCCCCCGTTTTTAGTTTTTGCTGCGTGAGGGCTCCCATAAAATGCTTTTCTCCTGCCAAGATAGTAAGGTCGACAGGTACACCCTCTATCCGTCGGTGTGTGACACGATCAGCAATACTGGCTGCAATCTGATGCAAGATGTTTCGCTGTTCCGGGGTGACAGTCACTGCTGCTGAAGGATCTGTACCTTTTAATAGCGGTCTGAGGGGTTCTAGCCACTCATTAGGTATTCCCACTACTGGAGGCAACCACTGTAAATCCCCTAAGAGTCTCTGAGCATCGTGCAAGGTGGCAATCTCTATATTGATAGACAATTTCTGAGGTCGAATGACAGAGTCTGTGATTTGCCAGCCTAAATAATGCCAGGGACTGTATTCTTGAATTTTCTCAGTGGCTATGACTAAGCCTTGCTGTTGCAACTGACTAACCAACTGCTGTTTCTGATTTTTTGTAAAGTTAGTCGGCTGGGCAAACAATAAATCGTCTACGTAGTGGTAAATTACTGTCGAGGGCCATGATTTTCTGATTGGCTGTAATGCAGCATCCACATAGAGCTGACAAAGCGTCGGAGAATTCTTCATTCCCTGGGGCAACACTGTCCACTCATAACGTTGCGCTGGTCCTTCTTTGTTTATAGCAGGAACAGTGAATGCGAAACGCTGACGATCCTGCTCATGTAATGCAATAGTGAAGAAGCAGTCTTTAAGATTGATTATTAACAGGAACCAATTTTGTGGGATCATAGCTGGATTTGGCAGTCCTGGTTGTAATGCCCCCATCGTATGCATCTGGGCATTTACTGCACGTAAATCATGCAGAAGCCTGTATTTCCCAGATTTCTTCTTAATTACAAAAATAGGAGTATTCCACGGGCTTGTTGACAAACGTAAATGTCCTTGTTGTAATTGCTCTGACACCAATGCATGTGCCTGTAGAAGACTTTCCCTTTTTAAGGGCCATTGCTCTACCCACACCGGCGTTTCTGTCTTCCATTGGAGTGGGATCGGGAAAGTCCAGGCAATGGCCGTCACGCTAAAGGGGATCTTGGTTCGTTGGTCAGAACCATCCCCATCTGTGCAAGAATGTCTCTCCCTATTAATGCTTGTACTCCATCGGGCAGGGGGAGAATAGACGCGCTACAGTTCACAGTCATTCCATCTAACACGATAGTTATCGGAGGGGACCTTTTTGCCAGAGTCAGTCCACCCACTCCTGCAACTGTTGCTCCTGCGTTCTCTAAAGGCCACGATGTGGGCCACCTGCGAGCTGCAACAATACTGATGTCAGCTCCCGTATCCAGAAGAGCAATTAAATGTGCAGTTTGCGAGTTCCACTGCAGCTGGATGGCTTTTCGTGGTCGTCTGGCCAGGTCTATTGTCAGCAGAGCCGATGCACCAGTAGATCCAAAGCCCTGATCTCCACGTTCGGGCTTGTCCGATAGTCCAGATGTGATTTGAGGTAGTGGTATTAGTTGTGCAATACGGGATTTAGCTGAGATATGCAAAGGTGGAAATAGTGTGTTTACCATAATTAATATTTCTCCAGTGTAATCGGCATCAATCAGTCCTACTAAAACAGTTAATCCAGCCATTGTGGCCGAGGACCGACCGATTAGCAAAGCCCCCACCGGTTTGCCATCAATTAACACTGGTCCGTACACTACTGTCGGTAGCTTTTGAGGACGCTGATCTATGAGGGTGCAGTCTATTGTGGTCGCCAGGTCCAAGCCGAGACTCCCTCTGGTTGCGGGTCGCAGTGCGAAGTCTGAGCCGGGAAGCTGTGAGTGGTTGGAGCCGTCACTTGTGTCTTGGCACGGGACCCCTTCGCGCTGGCTCTCCCGTTTCCCGATCCACGCCAGCACATAGCAGGAACATGCGTATTTTGCTGACAGCGAGGACACCACACCGGACCGGCCTGGCACTCTCTTCGCATGTGTCCGTACGCTCCACACCGAAAGCATCGTCTTTGTGCTGTTCTGTTTCGTTGCGTGGCTCCGGTCGGAGCTTGTAAGGGCGCAAGCGCGGCTAAAACCTGAGAGCTAGTAGCCTTCGCCTGCTCTTTTAAGCCTTCACCCAGCTCCCTAACTGCGTTCACTAACATGGCATTAGGCCCCTGGGGTACGTGCGCCATTCGTTCTAATAGCTCCTCAATTGACCAATTACCCGGGAGTGTGACAATGACACTGCGAGCTGTGGAATTACAGTTCTGCAGCGCACACTGTTTTAGCAGCGCTCCGTACATATATTCAGCAACCCCTGCTGACTGAATGGCATTAGCAACTCTGTCTACGAATGATCCAAAAGGCTCTTCTCTTCCCTGCTTGATCCCCATATATGACGGAATTCCTCCCGGAGCTTTGATCTGATCTAGAGCGAGACGGGCTAGGCGCATAGACTCCCTGACCTTATCGGGCCCTATTAACGTTTGTGCCTCCAACCTGGTGTACGGTCCCAAACCCATCAATTCGTCCAGCGTAACCCCGTTCAAAGGGTCAGCTGCCGGTCTCTGAATCGCTACGGACTCCTGGCAAAGTGCTTGCCAGTGTGCATTATGAAGCATTTGCTGGTGCTGTGAAAGAACCAACTTCATAATACTCTTAATATCTGCTGGCAAAAGCAAGTTGCTACCCCAAATATAATTCAACATTTGTCGGGCAGGCTCGCCCTGGATTCCACTGTCACTAACGGTAGCACGCAATTGCGACAACAGTTTCCAATCGAGGGCAGTGATAGTCGCTACCCAACCACCCTCCTGTGCCGGATTATAAACTACCGGGAAGGCATTAGTTAAAGCCTCTGCCGCTTCTTTGTCTCCCGCTTGCAAAGCGTCTGCGGCAATGCCTTGCCAGAGCTTTCGTTGCTCTACCGCGACATTACTTGATGTATCGGGTGAGGGGGGTGACGCAGCCCCGGTAGACGAGATCTGCTGGGACTCAGGGGACGGGCTAGGGAATTCTAGGGAAGGGGCAGTGGGAGTAATAAAAGCCTGCCTTTGGGATTCAGGCGGGATATGTATAACATTAGTCGAGGGAGGCAGCGGGCACGGAGACTCAGCGAAAGGATTGCCGATGTCTCCCAAACGCTGCGCAGCGGCTCGAGCAGCCTGCTGCTCGGCTTTATGTTGTTGCAAAGCATTAGAAACAGCCTGCCACTGCTTGCCCAACCTTTTAGCCACTTTATCGTCATTCAATAAATCCTCCCACAACTTATCCCCGTACCGTTTCCATTCATCTTCATCAAAGACCGTATTGGGGTCCGCAAAACACCCTTTCGCAAACCCCACCTTAAGCAATTCCGGTAAATCCTTTTTTAAATCTAACCCTTTAACTCCCCGCTTTCCCAGAAAGCATTGGAGTAATGAAAGTGCCGCCTGTCTCTCCATTACCTAAACCACGCGTTACCACGCTGTGCAGCCTTTCCACGAGACTTTGCGGCTTTGTCGGCGGGTCCCCTTCTTCAGGAGTTTCCCGGGCGCTGGGTCCAACAATTTCGTTGCCGGAAGCGCGGAACTTAATCCCTTCGCCGTCCAAAATCCCCGAATGGGAGGCTTTCGGCAGCGGCAGGTTTGAGCTCTTTTCGCAACGTGGGACGCGGAACTAAACTCTTTCACCGTCCAAAATCCCCGAAAAAGAGGCTTTCGGTGGCGGCAGGTTTGAGCTCTTTTTCGTCCAACCCTTTCGCCTACTTGCGCTGCACGACAAGACCGACCGAAGTTACTCGTCCGACCGCGGCCACGAGAACCCGACTTGGTTCTTTCGGAATCCGACTTGATTCCAGCCCAGAAGTCCAACTTGACTTCTAGGGACCCCCCTTGGTCCCTGCACACGGGCGCCAAATTTGTCGGCGAGGAAAGCTCTGAACACTTAATGTAAGGATCCAAAACTTCGTTTATTGAAGATAGAAAGCAACTTAATATACACTGCATAATAGGCTCATACATATTACAGAGATTAGGCTCCTAATTGGCACTTGACTAATAGGTGATATCATCTCAACTGCCTTCCATTGTTTACACAGGTGGCTCGTTAAGTGCTTTTGTTTTTCAAATTCCAAGCTCCTGTTTTTCAGCCCAAGTTAGAATACACAAGGTCATTGCTGCTTTCTCATGGCCCTGCTATCTCAGACTTTCTCATGGGCCTAGACAGGCTGCGTTTTGCACTTTAGTAGCTTATCCATAACCTTAGCTATATTCATATGGCCTCGTGTTTCTAATCAATCCTCAATATGATACACTCTGGATAGGCCTAGAAGAAAAAAAATCTATTATGGAGGGCCTTTTGCTATTCACCTATACATTAGGTGAATATGTGAAGAGGCAAGCAAACCAAAGTGACTACATTTTTGGGAGTAACTAATTTTAAGAGTGCTAACCAATAGATCCTTTTCACTAGTTTTTACTAGGGTTCCTAGTACCTGTAGCTGTTAGCAGTAATACCAGTTTGCAGGAACAGAATACTGAGTTTGAATAGCCAATGGCCAACAGATCAGGTTACAACAGTTTGTAGTAACCTTTGTACAACAGGGTCAGAAAAGGAGAAAAAAAGAAAAAGACCGGGACTGAACAACCAGAATTACTTGGTGCAGAATTATCAACTTAAATATCTGTCATGAGAGAATACAGACTCTCATCTACATTTTTGTCATACCTAATGAGGAAATAGTAGCAGACTCCAACTATTCACTGACCTGTCTCAACTACAAGTCCACTTCATATTACATTCATGTTCAAACATCCTTGAATAAGTAAATAGGTAGCAGTTACACATAAAGAAACTACAGACATCTAGATAATGTGAAGAATTGAATACCTAGGCTTTTCTGCAAATAACAGATCTAGTTCCAATCTTGATTAACAATGTATTTCCTTTTATTTTAATGGACCTTTTACTTCACAACGACCTGTAAAATAGGCTCACTTTTAATCATGACAAATATGTATTGGACAATCTGGAGGGCTATGCAGCCAGATCCCTCAAAAAGGGAATGTTGCACAAGCACAGAGTATAGCATACGACAGGTGTTAGCAATCCATGGACAGCAGTTTCAGATAAACGCTTTGAGAGTAGCTTTATGAGTTTATGTTTCAGTTTGCCTTGCGAACACTTAGAATTTTACTACAGAAGATTACATGGAAAAAGGTGATCAGATCATATCGCTAGATTAGATTAGATTAGATTAGATTAGATTAGATTAGATTAGAAGAGTTACTGGACCAGGCGTTCACGATGCAGACGAGCTGTTTAAAGTTGTCAATCTTGGAGGCAGCCTGGGCAGTAGCCCGTCGCTCGGCCGCTGGACCGGAGAGGCGGGATTACCGCCCGGACAGGGCATGCCGACAGGCTGGGCTGTGCTCTGCAGGGCAGGGCAGGTCAGGGATGTTCTGGAGCCTGAGCCCCGCCGGGATGCTCCGCGCCCCGCGCTTCTCGCTTGGGGGCCTCTCAGCCCGCGGGCGGAGACGCTTCTCCGGTGCCCTGGGTGTGGGCGGCATCCTTGGGTCCGGTCTCTGGTCACTTAGAGCCACCCCCCGCTTGGGCACCGCTGCTCTCCGACCTCGCACCGCCCGGCATGGTAAGTCCCGCTGCGTGCTGGGGGGGTTCCTGACCCAGAGCTCCGCTCGGTCTCTCTCCTCCTGCCCGCCCGTCTGCACCTCTCTGGTTTCTGCGAGAAAGGCGCAGAAAGGGTTGGAACGAACAAGTTTTAGGAAAGAGTTTTGTTCTAGCTGGCATGATTTCAGACCTACAAAGCTCTGTCAGAAAAAGGGATGGCAGGGCTCAAACTGCTCCCGTGTTCCAGTTTAGCAGTTTCCCTAGACAGTGTTCTCCAGGGGCTTTCCAAATATCACCAGCTGGTTTAAGCTGGACTCCTCATTGTCCTGTTAATTATGACAGTTGTGTTCATACTGAATTGTTAGGCTTTCTCCACTATTTCTTTCACTAGCATGAGTATAACCCCACTGATAGCTACAGTTTCACGTGAAATATTTAGGAAGCTGTTTGCACTATGGTATGAAGGCCTTTTATTTAGGAGGGAAAAAGGCATACCTTCCCCCCATGCTCCAAGTGCTTGATGTAGAAATGGACTCAGATTATAATACTCAAATACAGCCACATACTATGATTATGATACCACATACACGCACAAACAATGTGACCTCCAATCTTTATGCTGCTATGACTAGAAAACAAAGTTCTCTTCACAAGCCCCTGAAAGGTATACTTTGGGGAATTAGCATCCTGTGTTAGCATCTGCAAAAACCACTGTTCACCAACTGTTAATTAATACCATTTACTTCTAGTCCTCTTAGAATGATAGAATCACTTAGAATGGAGAAGATCACGAGTCCAACCATAAACCTAACACTGCCAACTCCTCCACTAAAACATGTCCTGAATCACCATACCAATGGGTCTTTGAAATACCTCCAGGGATAGCAACTCAGCCACTTATTTCCCTGGGCAGCTTGTTACAGTGCTTGACAAACAGTGAAGAAATTTTTCCTAAGATCTGATCTAAACCTCTCCTTGGTGCAACTTGAGGCTGTTTCCTCTCACATGCTGTCATTTGTTCTTTGGAAAAAGAGGCCTACACCCACCTTGCTACAGCCTTCTTTCAGGCAGTTATCAGGAGTGATAAGATCTTCCCTGAGCCTCCTTTACTCCAGACTGAACAGCTCCCTTACCTGCTCCTCACCAGAGTTGTTCTCAGGACCTTTAACCAGCTTCATTGCTCTTCTTTGGACACTCTTCTTCAGATTTAACATAGAGATTCAAGGCTATTAGTTCTCACCTTTAAACTGTGAAAACCAAAAAATCAGAGCATGCCATATCTTGATTTTTCTATATTCCATAACTTGGCTATCTGCATTTTAATCTCTTTTCCCCTTTGGCAGATTACCCAGTCTTTCCATCTCATGCCCACAGGTTTGAGTAGATCAGAGCTACCTCTTTTGCAGCTGCAGACTACACACCTTCAACCAGTATAGATAGATAATATATTTTTAAGCAGCAGATCAGCATGTTAATAATTTACTAAGCTGTCAGTTTTGACACACAAGGCTTTTCTGCACTGCAAGACTTCCTTCTCTGCCTGAAGCTTTTGCATTCCACGGCTCATTCTAGACTCTCCTTGTCTTGCTGAGACTTGATAGCAATGAAGTTTATTGATCATGGTGCTTCATTCTGTATTCTGAAGTGATGCAATCATGAGATAATCACTTTCCCCCTCCTCCATTGCACTTTCTCATTTGGACTTTTCAATTTTTATAACCTCTTTCCGGGTAATAAGGGATCCTATGTACATGACTGCTTTCATTCAAATTACCCAGATTTTACAAACCTTTTATTTTTAGTGTCTTCTAATTACTTGGAAAATGTTTACTTTTAAAAATAATCTAAAGTTTGAACTGTTAAATTGCAGCTGAGCTATACCAAAGATATAGTATATATAGATTAACTCAAAGAACTAATCAAGACCTGCCAGAATTTATAGGTTTTTTTTCAAAACTAGCTAACACTACTTTCTGCATAGTTTATTGTACCACTGCATAAAAAACCCTATTCTAGAAAGCCAAGAGAATTCTTATAGAAGTTGGAAAACTGATGAATTATGAGCAGAATCTGTCTTCCCTCAGGTTCTAAAACACAGTCCTAGCCAACCTAAAAGAAAAGAAGACACAAACAAACTCTTCTTCTTTCTATTCTGAAATTTCCTATCACTGACCACAATATCTTTGTTTTGTGGAGTATCTCTAACAGTTACATTCAAGGACAGTAAAAATTAAAGGGGAATTATTAATTTTACTTTGTGTACAGTCTACCCATTTCATTTCAAGGACGTTAATTATATGGAATTTAGAAGGCTTTAGATACTAGTATACACTGAGTGTTCTTAATTACTTCCTTCTTAAAATTAGCACAAGAAAAACAGAATCATGCACAATTGTCACATTTGTTGTTTTGCTTTCACAGTAAACCTAGGAGATTTAGATTGCACCAACATTGCTATTATTATAAGAAACTTAACAACAACAAAACTATTGTGATGGAGCTACTCGTTATTGTCTTTAGCAATGTCTATTACTAAAGAAATGTTACATTTATAAAATGAAATGTCCTTCTTCCTGAGTGTGCTGCTTTGGTGTGCCCATTATGTCCAGTGACTAACAAACAAATGCATTATGATCTGAAAAACCTATATCTACCCTCCCCTTTCTCTATCACTTTGCCTTTAACCTTCCCCAGATGGATGGAGATCTTTTAGCTCCTGGCCAGGCAGCGGAACAGCTATTGTATTGTTATTGCTACCTCTCTCCTTTTTTTTTTTTTTTTTTTTTTTTTTTTTTTTTTTTTTTTTTTTTTTTTTTTTTTTTTTTTTTTTTTTTTTTTTTTTTTTTTTTTTTTTTTTTTTTTTTTTTTTTTTTTTTTTTTTTTTTTTTTTTTTTTTTTTTTTTTTTTTTTTTTTTTTTTTTTTTTTTTTTTTTTTTTTTTTTTTTTTTTTTTTTTTTTTTTTTTTTTTTTTTTTTTTTTTTTTTTTTTTTTTTTT